GGATTCTTCCACTGAAGGAGTCTGAAGGTTTGTCGAAGGAGTTCGCCTGAGGTTCCCTATAGGCTCTCTATGGTCCTTTATCGGGATCCTAAATGAACGAGTTGATTTGACCCAAAAAATTGTTATTTATCTCCAGTACGTTGAAGATTCAGCGTTCTAGATGCTACAAGTTGTTATTTGTACCCTTCCAGACCTGGTCCTTGCTCTTTCTTAGTTCAATCTGTATAGGCTTTTTTTTCTGATGAAAATCAACACTACGTGTAATGCTCGATTTTTCAAAGAAAAAAGAAAAAAAGCTAATTAAAATTTACTCTTGTGCACGCTTCCTTGACGAAGAAGGTATTTGTGGACCTGTTAAAGAGAAGCCTAGCTCGTACGTCTCCATAGCGTCAGAAGCTTCGTCAAGGTAAGGTGTCAGAAGATCAGCACCAACACCTATACATTTATAGTTAGCACACTAGGCAACTATGACAAAACGTGGACTTCATATTACAAAAAAAATCCAACAAAAAAAGACCGATTAGGTTGGCCAAAAAGCTTGCTGTCACGAGTATTTGTAAGGAACTTCCAATTTAAGTGAGCTGATAATCATAGTTACGTTCTGATACTTTGTTGATTCTCTCCGCCCAAATAGAAAGACTGCTATGGGATCAATGCCACTTTTTGGAGGACAACATGCTTTTTCTTTTTTTTCTATCTATCAATATGTTTCAAATGCAGGCCTTCTGAAAAAGCTGTAGCAGGCAGAGCGAGCTGATAACAGCTCATGGGAGCGGAGGAGTAAGTTGACAGAAAACCACGGTTGAGGCACGATCAGTTCAAAGTAACTTAGTGGACATGTCATGGTAGCCTCATCGCGGAGTAATGGAACAGACGTCTTGGCTGCACCCTTGATTTACACTGTCCTCTATGGGGCACGTGCACGGTTAAAGCTGGATATTCGGAGGCCTTAACTAACCAGAGCGATCTCAAAGGCAGCGATGGACTGAGGCCAGAGATATACGAAGATGTCAATAAAATAGACGTGAGGAAAATCTAATAGGGAATTGCAATTATGACGCTAAGTATGGCGTAACATAAGAGAGGTGCTGTACCAGGTAGGGCTCATGATTCCTTCAAGAAACAAATGAGATCAACCTACCGTCACAGAACGCTTCGCAATGCTCTTTGGTCGCGAAATTGTTCAAATTTCCTGAACAACCACCGTAATCGAACGATGAGCAGGTTTGATTCAATGGAGAATAGAAATATCGTGGTACGGTAACTGAACATGGTCCACGTTCCGGATTCAACCCGCATACGTATCCTGAACCTCCTTATTTGTAAATCATGAAGGTGGAGATTCTTCTAGCAGAAATGAGAGAAAAATCAGTGGAGATGAGAAACGCATTGAGTGCCGAAGTTGTGAAGGATCTCACGTTTAGAAACACAGCATATTCCAACTTTCCCTCCCGGATGTGTCGAGCAGTAATGTGTAGATGGACAACTGAAAGTACACAATAGATCCGCAAAACAACTCGTTGCGCTCAAGTAATATACGAATTGGGTTTCTTTAGAGGTGCAGTTCACTATGATTTTGGAGTGTGTGGCTTTAGATGAGTAGTGGAAGCGATAGCCCAGATTAGTGGGAAAAACTAATGCTTCAAAAAAAGTAAAGGCCTGGACGTGAATGTGACAACAAAAATAGCACGGAAGCAACAAAAACATTCAGAAGAGCTGCCCAAATAGGTGTATCTTTGTTTACAACTACCAACAGAAAGCTGTCTGCCTGCAACGTGTGCGCCCCGGTGCGAATGGGCAACCACTCCAGTCTCTACAACGCCGTGACAACTCGTCCGCCTTTGGGTGTGCATGTCGGTTTTGGGGCCTTTATTACGTCGTATCTAGACCGTTTTTTGACCTGACAGTGTCCTTTGTGCTATCCTCTGGGTGACAGGTTCACCTTAGTGAGAAATCTTAGAAACCATTTTTGTCGTGAACCGTGTCCTTTATTTTTGTCAAACAGATCGAATACCTGTTGATTTTCGAAGAACACGCCAGAGGAGTACCATCTGATGAGCTCGCGAACGGATCGCCATGAGGACAGGAAGAGGTTTTCGCTTTAGTCAATAGTGGCTCTTGAATATTATATATACTATCCATTGTTTCATAGAGATCGCTAGCTTACGCCTACCTCTACCAGGACAACACACGCCTGCCCCTTCGGCATCGAATCCTGTACAGTAGAATCCTGTGGGACAGATTTCACCAGATTCCCTGCAGTAGAATTGCCTTTTTGTTCGCGGATCAATCACCGGGCGATCTCCAACATTACATGGCGAATTTTCACCTGAAATTCTTTTTACGTTTTACTCAGGTATGATGTCAAGGAACGAAAAGGAAAACACTATAACTGACATGTCGGCAAAGGGATGCAGTTGTTCGAGGAGCACGACGGAGTACGCAGAATGCATACCTAAAATGGGCCGAATAGTCAACGAAAGTGAAGAAGGAGCTCTAGTTGATTCATGCGTCAGTTGCAGCAAACACACCTCGTTACCCTTGCAAGTCACATTGTTACAAGGTGAAGAACAGCGGCAGTCCGGGAACGGGCAAAAATTCTGATCTAGTACAGGGCCGTAAGGACACATTGATCGTGAGCACTGGGTTGGACAGATGCGAGGAGCTGCAAGAATAAACTGTAACCGATACGTTTGGTAACAGGCTCTGATCAGCCTACATGAGTTGCAAAAATGGTGTGAGCACCAGCGCTATATCCACGAGAGTATACAGTGATAAGGCTAGAACGTAACCCAGAAGTACCACGCAGTACAGCGGATCCTGCGACGGCGCGGAATTAACACTAGGGAGAAGAGAAGAAGTTAGAGAGGCAGAGGCACCATGGATCCAGTCCCCTTAAGTAGAATGGGCTCATAGTCTCAGTCCCTGCTGAATTCCCTGTTCCATCACCAGCCCAAACTGGGGAGGTCACCATAATAGCGTTTCTAGAATCGTCTAGCAAGTTTACTGAAGTTCCTGAGGATTCGTTGGAGAATTACCTTCGCAAACATTCTGGCCAACAGAGTTGGATCGACGTGAACCCGGTACTGGCCTTCCAGTTTCAACATCCACACACCAACAAGTCCCAGACGATTCGCACTGAATTCGTAGGAAAAGTCCTGAAAGGAAAGAGTCAGAAGTTCTGAACGAATGGAAAGGAGCTCATTCAAACGATTTAAGTAGAAGATATTTCTCAGTTTGGTAACTTCTCGAATGCACCTGTCTTCTGATTGCAAGCCGGCTCATGGATGCCGTGAACTCCTCGTCGACGGAGGTCTTCGATGGCGTTTCGGTAAAGCACACAATCTGAAAGTGACCAGTCTAGATGACTCACTTCGAATGCAATTTCTCTTTGGTCCGATGTTCAGAAACTTCAAAAGTTGCAAGACTTAAGAGAATGGGTTATACAGTTCTTTCAAAGTGCATTCATCAAGACCACTTCGGCTGCCCCAGATTAGTTGCTGCTTTTATTGGTGGCTTCTACAGCTTAAGTTGTGTACCAAAAGGTCCGGGTGGGGCTCACCGATTTCCGCAGTGCAGCATGCGACATTTTTTCATACAGTTTTGTAGAAGAAGTGTTTATAGGGGAGAGGTAGAGGTGATGTATTGACAGAAAGAGCACTACATACACATATTTTCAAACCCCAAATCGGTTCCCCAAGCAAGTCTACGGCTTACGGCAGGATAAAAACACTAGCTGGTCATTGCAAGTCGTTATATAGGCCACATAGTACGCTTCTGGATGGAAGTCAAATGTAGGGAACTATCTCGAAAACGGGATGGAATAGCAGCAAAGACTCAATTTATTTATAGCAATAATTATAGCAATGGCATAAAGGTGACGCCGTAACATTGTTGCTGTCCACGGAACAAGCCCCTGGGTAAAAATTGTTCACATAAAACAGGTCATTCAACCCACTGAGATCCGTCAGTGGACTCGCCTAAAATGAATCCAAAAATAAACGAATATCTTGAAACTAAAATAAATAGAGTAATTGGAAATTATGAAAACCAGTAAATTAACAGTAACTTATATTAATTATGTCCGTTATCCTTCGCAATTCGTCGTATGGCGTAAGTTTGCACATTGACGCCTTCTTGATTCTGCACAATTAAGTGCGCGGCACATGCAGAAGCTATTACTTGAAGAGGGATCACATGCTATGTTCTGATAACATGCTATGGAACCCATGAAAACCCCAAAAAATCGAACGAAAACGTTTTGCTGGTATGGTCAAGTATGCCATGAAAAATCGAATTTGCAAAGACAAATGAAATTCTCTAAAAATCTGACTAGACGAGAATAAAGAACTTTCGATCCAGTAGTAAATGAAGTCATCGGTTTGTTTTGAAGTGTTTGTGTGAATTCAACACAAGAGCGAAGGGGCTTGATTGGCCCAAATGATATCTGATGTCACGAACGCTACGTCCTTTGCCCATAAATTTTAGCTATGGTTGTCACAAATAAGACTCACTTGATCTGGCTTTGATGTAAGCAGGCATCTCAGTGGTTTGTGGTGTTTGACAGCAGATGCCGACCGTTTCACCAACGCCAATCACACATTTTCCGCGTGGACAGCTATCGTTGCGACACGAGAATGCGTTTCCGTAAAGGTCTCTGACCACATAGTTCGAATCACATGGGGACGTAATGCCTTAAAAATGTTGCTATCGACAGAAAATTGATTTCAGTGGGCAATGCTAGGATATAAGGCCCACATTTAGGTACTGGTGGGCACGGATCACGATCGCACTGTACTGAGACGAGAGCACACGTTTTGTGTAACGAACAAGCAAGATCCTAAAAAATACCTTAGAGAGTAAGGAAGGACAAAATACAAAAGACAAAATCCCTGACGTTCTAATCTCTTCATAATTCAACTACTTCTGTGTCGTTTATTTTTCGCTCATTCTCATCCGAGTTAATTACCCACCTGATCCTATGACAGTAACACATTCCAGTCGAATACTCTAATCAACTTGTCTTTGGGAAAACCAACAAGGAGAGAGAGCTGGCTATGTTGGATGAGGGGATTAGTGACCGTTACCATACGCATAACCGCTTTTAGCCACTCTGCCTCCCGCGCTCCCATCAAATCCAAGAAACTTACATCACATGGATTCTTGCACAAGCATACTCCATTGTGTGGGCAACCGTTTGCATCAACTCGAATACCGTAATCGCATGACGAATGCCCGCAGGACACGCTGCAGATCTTTGGTCCTGCAACGAAGTGTACATGATGTCCACTGTATGCTGTTGGTGGTAAGTAGATGAACAATAATAGCTTTTGCCTACGGAGAGGCTTCCTTATAAAGAGGCTCAACAAAAAAGGAAAGAAAACAAATCTGAAGTCTAGATTTTTTGATTACATGAGGATGTAAAACGGAAGTTCTGCGGAGAATCAATGCGAAAGAAATTCTCTGGAAACCACAACTGAAGCCAAATTCTGTTGTGCAGGTAGCTGTCAACGCCAGTCAAACTTTAATCGGGTAGGACGTCATGATACGTATGCTTCATACATACGAGAGGACGACTGCAAGCTCGAGATAGTTGTACAATCCGGTCACAATGCCCGCTCAGAGCGCCAGAGACCCATTTCTTCACTAGCACCTCTTTCAGTTGTCTCATACTGCCGTCCAGTACGCCCGTCTTCATCTGTCCTCTCTGCCTAATCCTACCTGATTCTGTATCCATTTGCCACTGGACCTACCTATCGATGCTCAAATGTGAACATCGCCTTGGTAATCGTACCTAATGCTACTAAGAAGACTTCAATGAGCTAGAATAGCTTCAGGAACTTTGACAGAACTCACGTTTGCACAGTGGCACGTCCTGGTTGTTGTTCGTTCTCGTTCCGATTACCTCTATGCCAGAACTGTCTACGCACCAGCACTGCCTGGAACCAGGCGATTCGATACTTATAATCATTGGCAAGCTTTTTTGAGACTCTAACATTCCGCACGAGGCGATGCTAATCTAGGTGCATCAAGAATGCAGTGACACCTGGGACCGAGAGCAACTACAGGTAACTTTCTACCAATGAACCCAACAGGCCTTATCCCTACCTAAATTTACTGACCTGGTTCTGAAGTCACACTGAATCTCACGAAACGTCCCATCAGGCTCACACTGTACGGACGGAGGTAGAAGTGGCCACTCTTGAGTAAATGCACTCAACCGATGAAAACACGCACTGGTGACCTTAACGGAGAAAAGCTATGAGTTGAATGATTGAATTATTCAGAAAAAACCGCTAAACGCTGAATACCGTCGGTTCAACACATCGCGTTCCACAACTGGCTTTGCAACATTTCGAGAACGACGCGCAGTCAGCATCAGCCAAACATTCTTCACGACAACCAGGGTTCAGCAACAATGACGGGCAGACGCCTACCTTCTGTATCGCCGAAATCGGACCTTAAACATTAATAGATAGATTGAATACCCTCCAAAGCAGAAGTTCAGGCTCATGAGGTGACCTACCCGTTTACATTAGACTAGCAAATGACAACGGAGCCCAAGAAGCATTCAGAAAGAAATTGAGCTTATTGTCTAACGACGAGATGTTAGAGGACCCAACAATTCTCATGGGGTTGCTCTTAATATGATGACGAGCTCGTAATGCTCCAACTCAACTAAACAAGTTGATGCAACACTAATCACAGCTGATGTTTGTGATAATTATTATCTTGTGCCACACGAGGTTTTTAGGTGGAACGCTTTATTTAGTCAAAC